TTTGTTGGTTTTGGAAGCTTCTTATAAGCTGAATCCTTTCGCCACAAGGTCTACTAGGACTTGACCTTTTATTGCGGGGCGGGTAACACAGTAAATGTCATGCTCTCTAAGCTCTAAGATCCACTTAGTCATTACTTCCAGAGGAATGTGTGCCCCGCATGATAGGTTTTAGAGGGAGGTTGGATAACACTATCACTTGGTCTCCTTGAAAGTAGGGGTGAAGTTTTCAAGCGGCAGTGACTATAGCTAAGACCACTTTCTCCACTGGCATGTACCATGTTTTTGCTAGAAGTGCCTTGCTAACCTAACACACCGATTGATCGAGACCATTAGGAGCATACTTTTTGACTAGCACAGAACTGACTTCTTGAAGAGAGACTACTAGGTAAAGGAATAAATGCTCTATGTGTACAAAAGGACTAAGGATGGGGGCATTATAAGCTAATCTTTCAATTGATTGAATGTCACACTTCATTTTTTTCCACTTGAATCGGGAGGCAGATTTTTGGAGCACTTAAAAGAAAGGGGAACATTTTTATATCGAATTATAGAATGTTTCCTCAAGGTTCGCTAGGTTATCGTCGACCTTTTTGCTTTTGACTAGTACATCATCGACATAGGCTTCTACGTTTCTCCCAAGCTAGTCTATGAAAACTGCATCCACCATCCTCTTATATGTGACACCCACGTTCTTCAGGCTGAAAGGCATCACCGTGTAGTAGTAATTCCCCATCAAGGTTATGATGGCATTTTCTCTTGATCCTTTTTGGAGACAAGCATATATGATGGTACATAGAGAAAATGTCCAAAAAACTTAGAGTTTCGTGGTTGCTCGTGGCGTGATAAGATCTATACTTAGAAACAAATACACATCTTTCAGGCAAACATTGTTGTGACAAGTGAAATCAATGCACATTCTCCGCGACTTGGTGCTTTTGTGAACAAATACTAAGTTTGTCACCCATGTGGGGTACCAAACCTCTTTGATGAACCCTGCCTTTGAGAGGCGTTTAACTTCTTCCTCCATGGCCATTTGCTTTTCAAATGAGATGTTCTTCTCTTTTTCGATATAGGCTTCGTGACCGACTTTAGTGAGAGCTCGTGCTCAGCCAAATCTTTCGGGACTCTCGATATGTCTTCCGGTCCCAAGAGAACAAGTCTTCATACTTCCTAAGGAGTTCGAGAGGCTCGTGCGCTTGGTTTTTAGGGAGGTGTGACGATATGCATACCATCTTTTTATGGGTTTTCATCCTAGAGTGGAATGACAATGTTTCCTTCCATCTCCTGTGGTCATGATGCATTTGCTTTTGGGCCCACAAGGTCCACCTCGAGTTGCTCGATTGCTTGGTAGCATTCCTTTGCTTGCTGTGAGTTTCCCTTTGCACTTCAAGAAGTCCCCCACTCAGAATTTTTAGCATTTGATGGCATGTTGACAGTATAGCACCAAATGTGGCAAGGAATCCCCATCTCAAGATGGTATTGTAAGCCGACGGGCATTCTACCACATGGAAGTTCATCAACTTGGTCTTTGTCATTCTCGCTTCCTCGATGTTCACTTTCAAGTGATTACGCCTAAGGCGTCAATTTTGGAGTCAGATAAACCGATGAGGCTTATGGTGTATGGGCATAGTCATCAATGCTCTTCCTCGTGTTCTTGAGCATGGAATAGAAGAGTATGTATGTTCGGCTGCCATTATCCACTATGGTGCATGTGACCTTTTACTTTCCAGTTCTGTAGGTGATAACTAGCGGATCTTCATATACGAACATAATTATTTCTTGAGCATTTTGCTTGATCCTATTCGTTCCTTGTCCTATTTTCCGCTAGAGTTTTCTTTTTTTGTCATATTTCAGGTCCTAGTACGTGTATGGAGCCTAGGAACGAGTTTCAAAGCATTTAGTGGAAAAGGGTTGAGAAAGCCATGCCAAGGATTGAGGGAGTCATGTCATGATGTGGGACATGACTATTGCATCCTAGCCATGACTTAGCACCGAGAAACAGTAAAATTTTCATGTCACGGCCTTGCAACACATGTCTTAGCCAATGCTCACGAATTAGTACACCAAACCGTGACTTGCCCCTTAACGATAAAAGAAATATACGAGTTTTGGGCTGGTCACAACTTGAGTCCACGACCCTGGACCTACCCGTGAATAGCCCATAAACGTGAGCCTGCCCTTGAGTGGTGCACTATAATTGGGGATGAAAGCTATTTTTGCAATCTTTGAGAGAGGAGGCTGGGTTTTGGTTCTCAAACACAACCTAAGAACGAACCTTAAAGGGAACAAGTTTTCCAAGGGCGATTTTGGGAAATTTCATCACCAAGGAAGCTCGAAGAACAAGCTTGGAAGTAGGAATCGAAGGCTTAGAGTAGATATATGCCAATTTCCTCTTTTTTATGTGGTAATCTCCCTTCTCTTGGTTTTTGAAGAACTCTAGCTATGTGAGTGTCGAATTGATGATTATATTAGTACTCTTTCTTCCCAAACTCGATTTCATATCCAATCTGTGCATGTTTTGATGTTCAATTTTGCTTTAATCGATATTATTGATTTTGCTATTGACTTATAGAGAATACATGATTATGTCTATTAGAGCAGCATAGGTTGGGAATAGGGGATTAATAACACGAGTGAGTCGATTCAATTCTTTGTCTTGAGTGAGAACCTCACAATAGAGGGAATCTAGTGTAGAATGCCTTGATTGGTCGTGTTAGAGAAGGGTATATCCCTCTAAGCGATTGACTCAAGAAGGCCTTGATTGCTGTAATCAAGATTCAAGGTCTAGTCAAGAATTCCCCGCATTGTGAATGAAGAGTGGAAGAAGTTAGAGATTCATGCGTCATTAATCCGATAGTGGCTAGGGGGACCCCAATGAGCTCTCAACGGTAATTAGTTTGTCTAACCTTAGTGAATTTGTTAGAGTAGTTTAGTTGTTCAATCATTAATTTGCTTGCTAGATAACAAACCGAAGCGGAGTAATAGTACACTTAGAGACCCATGGATTCAAAATTTTATTATTTTACTTCCACTATATTGCAATCGATCTCTAGTTATACTTGGATATTGATTGGGATTGCTGTTTAGAGCCAGTCATCTATCATGGACTCTTCATCGGCGAGCTCCGTTGGGATAATGGCAATCTCGATTTGCTCTTTGGTTCTTATGCGCAAGCAATGTGCTAGGCCACTTACTTGGCGAGGGCATTTTTTTATACCCTTCGGAAATTGTTATAACCTCCTTATCATCATTGTCCAAATGTGCCTGCTATCACGGTGGAGCACCAGGCGACATCAAATGGAGACATTCATGCAGGGATTCGTGAGCGTCAAGTCTATTTCTAAGGCCCTTGGGAGCCAAGCTTTGTAGGTTAAATCTTAGTTCTTTGCAGTCAGTTGTGTTGGATGAACCCATCTAAGGCCAGCCATCTAATGCCAGTCACACCACTTCGGTCTCCAGAGTCCGGCTTCCCTCTTGAATGAGATTCTTTGTGCCCATCGCTTTGCTTTTCATCCCTTATATTTGTTGCATACACCTCTCCGTGGGCATCTCAGTCTGCAACCCTTTGCTTGTATATTCTTCTTTCTAGGGATCGCCCTTTGCGTTTTGGGGTTCGAGCCATCCCTTTTACTTCCTTGCACCCATACCCTTCTTCCTTTAGTTGACCCATCTTGATCGGTTCCTCCAATGCTAACGCTTCTTCTAGTGTGATAGCGTGTCACACTAGTTTGTCAAGTTCTGGCCATGAGTTGAGGCAATGCTCTTTCTTGATCAACGCACATTTGAGTTCATTGTTGTGCGTTGACATCCTGAGTTCAATGATACCTTCATGAAGCGAAGAAAACCAAGTCATGCAGCGCCTGTTGAACATGATTGGGAACGCCTAGTGCAGGCATTCAACACGTTAAGGAGCTACATTTTAAGCATGAACGCGCTCAAGTAGTTAGTTAGGTCGGTGTTGCAGTTGTATGTTGGCAATCCCAACGAGGAAAAGTTAGGCGGGACTTGCATCTTGAACAGTCTTTGGGCGAGTGGGTGGTGGAGTACATTGGGCCCTTTGTTTTGCCCATATGATGATCTTAATTGCTCTTCCAGGAAGTTGAGGTCATACTCTACGTGCTCCTCCTATGACTCTTCCATTTGTGAGGGTTTGGACTATCCGACAAGGCAATGGTCTTGAGCTTCTGCGTTTTCCTATTTTGCCCTAGAGATCTCTGGCTCGTTCTTCTTCCCTTCCCCTTTTAAGAATGTCAGAATTTGGCTTAGGCTATCTTGCATGTTCGAGATTTGCTTCTTGTGATCCTTGACTCGGTCTTCGAGTTCAATTTCTTCTTCGACGAGGGGGAGTTATCATTCATGGATCACAGGTTTTTTCAACATGTTCCTACAATGAACACCAAATGTTTAACGCTGAATTGTAGTCGGACGATAAATTCCACACCATCTAAGCACCATAGGGCATAAGCTTCTCTTAATCTTTAAGCCCTCGTTTGTTGTGTTTCTTCTTTCATGAAATGACAGGTAAGAAACAAGCCCATGAAATTTGGCCTAATTTCCACCGAACTAGGTACAAGTATCTAGCACCTCCTTAAGTTTGATATCTCGTAAGAAAAGATTCCGACAGATACCTCCCCATTATGCCTTCCCTTTCCCCGCGTCAATGGACTCAAAAATTTGATGCGGCCCTGCCAGGTCCTAGCTGTCGGTAAACTTGACGCGCTGATAATCGAAGGGCACTACTGGACTCCGTTCCCACTTGATAAATAAATGATAATTACGGTGCCAAAATCTACCTAGTTATCTTAATTCACACGACCTTTCTTTCTTTCTTTCTTTTAATTATTTTTTCCCCTCCGTAGGGTACGTTGATTAACTCTGGCACCAAACCCGGAATCAATCAAAGCAAAGGGACTCAGAAAAGGAAAACGAAAGGAAGAGAAAAGAAAAGAAAAGAAAACAGCACACGTTAAGGAAACAAACCCGGAGAAGGAAAAAAAAAAAAAAAACTCAACTAATGGTTTGATTCTTCACAACAGAACAGAGGGAAAGAAGTAAGAGGAGCAGACGGGAAGAGGCTTCAATTCTCCGATTCTCTCACTCTTTTCTTTTTTTGCTGGGTTTTAGCTTCTCCCCCATTTCGTGTTCGATTTTTGTGTGTGCATATTTTGAAGTCCTTTTTCCTCCACCGGGGGTTGATTGGTAGCAGGACCAAGAAATTTCTGTCCTTCTCCCTCCCGCTTCCGTTTCAAAACTCTCACCCGTACCGCAAGCTTTCGTCTGTCTGTAAATTTGCTCTAGCTCTTGAGAGGTTGTAGAAGGACGGAGAGACGTGCAGACTGAAAGCTGAGCACTAGCTCAGCACTCTCGTGCTCGGCTGCTGGATGGTTTGCAGCGGGAGGCCGCGGCAGTAGATCGAGGAGCTGCTCTGAGTTTCTAGATCTGATTAGCTCCGCTTGGAAATGGTACTCGCAGTTTAATAATTTTCCCCCCTTGACGAATTCATCTACTTTGGTGTGTTTGTATTGCCAATTTGACTTGGTCGGTGGACCGATCTGTTCTACTTTCTTTGCACTCCTGCTGTTCACTAGCCTTTATTGATCTACGTGGGAAATAGACTTGTTAGTATTGGCTGCGGTATTTGTTTGCGTATTGCTTCTGAAAGCAGGAGTTTCCGGCGAAGTTGTTGGTGGTAAATGCTGTGGTTTCTTGGGAACATTTCATTTGACTGTGCCGGGGTGGTTTCAATGGTGGATGTGCGAGAATTTGGTTTGTGTTTGAGAGGTTTGGTTGGAAACATGAATATTGATCAGATGCAGTGCCACGAAAAGGATTCCCCCTCCCACTTCTATCAAATTTGAGTTGACTTGGTAGCTCTGGAGTATCAGTTAATTACCTGGCCATGGATTGAGATACGCCATTTACCTTCTAATTTGTGTGATATTTCCTCTGGTTTCTGTCGTTCTGCCAGGTGGACTGGGAGATTGATATTAAGTAAATTCCTTTTCTTTAATTAGGGTATCTTGAAACGCAGTGTCTGGGATTATCTTCTATTTCGCTGCATTTTCATACTGTTACCTTGTAATGTTTGGTAATTAGAACTAGCTCAAGAATCCTTGTCCCAGAATATGGGCTTTCTTTTTGATGCATTCATTTGTGGTTTCTTTCTTTCTGTTATTTTTCAAGTTCTATAACCTGGGTTTCGTTGGGATTAAAAGTTCACTGCAGTAATTAATCTTTCCTGGTTGGAACATCAGTTAGTGGTTTCCACTAGGCAAGACTAATGTTTGTGGGCGGAAATATTTTGTTCGGGAGTGACACCATTAATGTACTATACCAGGGAAAGCAATTCCTATGTGTTACATTCATTCTCCAACAAAATAGTTGGCAAATGAAAGCAATGAACATTCTTTCTGTTGTCTCAGAATGGTTGGGTATGAAGTATGAACCATGTAACTAGCACTTTTATTTTTGTCTCCTTCGATATAGAAGTGAGGTAATCTTGTACATCATATGATAGACGTTATTGAAGTTGCAGCCATTGACATTTGATAGGGTCTTGAATTTCAGGCTGCTAGTGTTAGTCTGGCTGTTGGGTCCCTTGTTTGGGTGGAGGATCCTGACACAGCCTGGATTGATGGTGAAGTCGTGGAGATCAAGGGTGAAGATATTAAGGTCCTCTGCACATCAGGAAAAACAGTGAGTGTCTAGAACTTATAGCTCTGTAACAGTCATACATTTCAATGTAGACTAGAGAAACTGATGGGATCCAGAAATGTGTTCACTTGTTATCTCATCTCATCTTTTGAGTTGCATTTGTGGTTAGTTTATGCATCCCTGCCTGGATTTTCTTGCATTGACTTTCAGACTCATGCTTTGCACTTTCTCTCTTGATATGTAACTACTAGGTTGCTGTCAAGGCTTCCAATGTGTATCATATAGACACTGAAGCCCCACCATGCGGTGTGGATGATATGACAAGACTATCTTACTTGCATGAACCCGGAGTCTTGCAGAATCTCAGATCTAGATATGATATGAATGAAATTTATGTAAGTGTTCCCATACATGATATGTTGTGTCCATTCTGTGTTTCTTTCATTCTTTGACTATGTAGTCAAAGCTGGTTTACCTATTGCTGCCTGCAGACCTACACTGGGAGTATATTGATAGCTGTGAATCCATTTATGAGGCTACCGCATCTCTATGATATCCATATGATGGCGCAATATAAAGGTGCTGCCTTTGGTGAGCTGAGTCCACATCCTTTTGCTGTTGCAGATGCCGCATACAGGTACTCTTTCTTTTAATTCAGGTTTTCAACTTTTTCTTACGTTTGTTTAACAATGGTAGATCATTGCTGCTAATGCAGACAGATGATACATGAAGGGATCAGTCAGTCAATTTTAGTCAGTGGTGAGAGTGGTGCTGGTAAAACAGAAAGTACAAAATTGCTCATGCGGTATCTTGCTTACATGGGAGGAAGAGCTGCTACAGAGGGAAGGACTGTCGAACAACAAGTTCTTGAGGTAATGTAGTCGCACAATTCTCTGATGCGTAGAAAAGATGTTTTAGTAATGTTCTTTAATTCCTTAGCATAACCATATCTAATTTGCCTTCTCCCACTGTAGTCAAATCCTGTGTTGGAAGCATTTGGTAATGCCAAGACTGTTAGAAACAACAACTCAAGGTGTGAAACTCAATGTTTTAGAGATGTTTTTATATTTCATCTTTCCTCCTATTTGTTTTATACTCGTATCTTATTGCACTTAATGCTCCAGTCGTTTTGGTAAGTTCGTCGAGATTCAGTTTGACCAGAAGGGAAGGATTTCAGGAGCTGCAGTCAGAACTTATTTGCTGGAAAGGTCACGTGTTTGTCAGGTTTCTGATCCTGAGAGAAATTATCACTGTTTCTACATGCTTTGTGCTGCACCGCCTGAGGTAAATATTCTTCTATTCCTTTGCTTTTTTCATACAAAAAGATTGAATGGGTATCACGTCTACTAATGTTTTGGGCTCAACATGTCTAAGGATTTAGACAGTCTTTGGAAACTGAAATGTAATTGATGTTGGAGGAAAATTTTGGTTCAACATTTCAGGAGGTTCAAAAGTACAAATTGGGAAACCCAAGAACTTTCCACTATCTGAATCAATCAAACTGCTATGAACTGGACGGGGTTGATGATTCTAAGGAGTATATTGATACTAGAAGGGCGATGGAGATTGTTGGCATAAGTAACGACGAGCAGGTATTGCAATGGTGAAAATCTAGTCTCCAGGTGTGTTCTCCTAAGCGTACGTAATTCTGTCTATCAATGTATCCAGGATGCTATATTTCGAGTTGTGGCTGCAATTCTTCATCTTGGGAACATCGAATTTGCAAAAGGGAAGGAGATGGACTCGTCACTGCCCAAAGATGAGAAATCTCACTTCCACCTGACAACTGCATCTGAGTTATTGATGTAAATATGCAATTTGTTAGCTGCTGTGCATAGCAAGGCTCATGTTATGTTCTGGGTGTGTTTGTTTAGACTTCTCTTTCATGAAGAGACTTTTAGGAAGGAAAAGTAGATGAAGAAGGGTGTATTTGTTTTTACTTTTAGACAAAATTGAGTTGATGAGTCGTGAGATATTTTTTGGTAATAAAAAGTAATTGATGGGATGTAAATAGTTTGTTTAACGATATGAAAAATGAGTGGATTTTCGGAAATGACTAATGTTGGTGCACACATAAGAATATATTTTTATTTCAGAAGGTAAGGATGGAAATGAATTTTCTCCAATTGAGGTGACTTTTAGGTTTTAATAATTTGTAGAAATAGTGTGAATAGTTAGTTTATGAAGTCAGAATGAAAGTTCGTTTGCTTGCACTCATAGTTTTTCTTTCCTGAAAGAATATTTTAGGAAAGTCTAAAACAAACACACCCTCTGAATGTGATGTTTTGTTATATGGTCTTTAATGTATTGAAATTTTCATTTTTTACAGGTGTGATGTGAAGGCTCTAGAAGACTCTCTTTGTAAGCGTGTGATTGTGACTCGGGATGAAACGATCACAAAGTGGCTAGACCCAGAATCTGCAGTTCTTAGCAGAGATGCTCTGGCTAAAACTCTGTATTCAAGGTTGTTTGATTGGTAAGTGTTGGGTGACAAACTAGACCGGCGTAATGTTATGGAGGATTGTGAAATAGATCTTATGTTCTACCCCTGTTTATGCAGGATTGTGGACAAGATTAATAATTCAATCGGGCAGGACCCTAACTCAAAGGTCTTAATTGGAGTGCTGGATATCTATGGATTTGAGAGTTTCAAGACAAACAGGTGCATATGTGGCATGATTTTTGTATTCTTTTGCGGAAGCAATTGGTTCGTAGAAGAGATAATGGTTGTCCTATTTCCATGTCTCAAATGATATTCTGTCCGAGGCATTGGAAAGTATGGGACAACATATTGGTATCATTAGTAAGAAGCGTTGATTTTAGAGAATAAAATTTGACTAGGGACGTTAAACACTTTGTATTTGGCTTTTAGTTGACATGAAGTTTGGTGTTTATCATCTTGTTCCTGCACTGATTGTTTATTGCAGTTTTGAGCAATTTTGCATCAATTTGACCAATGAGAAGCTTCAGCAACATTTCAATCAGGTATGTTTTACAGGAGATATTCGTTAACTTGGCATCATCATTCTACTCTCACACTTGGAATGATTCTGATGTATGAATCATGCAGCATGTTTTTAAAATGGAGCAAGAAGAATATACCAAGGAAGAAATTGATTGGAGCTACATTGAGTTTGTTGATAATCAAGATATTCTAGATCTTATTGAAAAGGTTTGTTTGTACCAAGTGGTTGGCCTTTTTTCTCTTTCTTGCTTCCTTTCCGTGCAATGTTACACTAATCCAAAGAAAAATAGGACACCATGATGAAATATTTATCCAACACTTGTGATTCCTGTTTTCATATGTTTAGAATTCATTGTTTTGTGTGTTAATTTTCAGAAACCCGGCGGTATAATTGCTCTTCTGGATGAAGCTTGGTAAGTTTGGTTTTTGTATGGTTGCTACCTTGTTTCTTCTTTGAATGTACATCGATGAGGAGACAGTACTTTTTGTTGGAATATTATCAGTTGTTGATAGCGTACGTGTCTTGACTCTTACTTTTATGCAGTATGTTTCCAAGATCAACGAATGAAACATTTGCGCAGAAGTTGTATCAGACATTTAACAATCATAAGAGGTTCAGCAAGCCAAAACTAGCACGAAGTGACTTCACTATTCACCACTATGCTGGCGATGTAAGTGATTGCCATTTCGGTGCTCATATATTTTCTATATCTTTAGGAATCAATCTTCTTTTGTTAATTTAAATCTTTGACTTTGTCAACAGGTTACATACCAAACAGAGTTGTTCCTGGATAAGAATAAGGATTATGTTGTTGCTGAACATCAGGGGCTCTTGAATGCTTCGACCTGTGCCTTTGTTGCCAGCTTGTTCCCGCCTTCACCTGAAGAATCCTCCAATAAATCAAAGTTTTCTTCAATAGGTTCCCGTTTTAAGGTAAATTTTTTATATATATCTTTTTGCGTCAAGAACCCTTGATAACTATTGTTGTTCTTTGACTATGCAGCAACAATTGGTATCTTTGCTTGAAACCCTCAGCTCAACAGAGCCACATTATATTCGTTGTGTGAAGCCCAATAATCTACTCAAACCAGCTATCTTTGAGAGCAAGAATGTTCTTCAGCAACTGCGTTGTGGGGTGAGATTGTGCTCAAACTCATGGAATAGGCCATTTTTGCAGTCGAAACTGACCTACTAATAATGTTTTGTTAATAATTAGGGTGTTATGGAAGCAATTAGGATTAGTTGTGCTGGGTATCCCACTAGAAAGCCATTTGATGAATTTGTTGATCGGTTTGGTATTCTAGCACCTGAAGTATTAGATGGAAGGTACCAAACTCTCTTGTCCCCTTTTGTTTTTCTAGTTATTATCCGTTATTGCTGTCACCAATTTTTCTTGTGGTAAAATATTGATTTTAGGAATGATGAAGTTACTGCATGCAAGAAGCTTATGGAGAAGGTCAGGCTTGACGGCTATCAGGTTAGTCTCTTTCTAGTGAAAAAATACTTTATAGTTGAGGTGTATAATATAGGTTGCTCTTTGTGTACTCAGTTGCTCAATCTTGTGCGTGCAATGTGAGATTTGGCTTAAATTTGATGAATTATATGTTTATTAGTCATAGTGATGTGGGGCATTAGAGATGGATGATCGTAGGAATACTGTCAATTGAAGCTTTATTCAAAATTTTCAGCAAGCAATGCGCTTAGCAGTTCTGCAGCTAATATGATAAGAAAAAGCTCTCCACTTTCTTATGCTGTAACAAATTTGACATTGTAGATTGGTAAGACAAAGGTTTTTCTCCGGGCTGGTCAAATGGCAGAACTAGATGCTCGCAGGACTGAAGTATTAGGAAGATCAGCAAGTATCATTCAGAGGAAGGTCCGTGCATATCTGTCTCGAAGAACATTTATCCTCATCCGCCGCTCTGCTGTACAAATGCAAGCTGCATGCAGAGGTATTCTGTTGTGTTGCAATTGCTTTGATGCATCTTTGACTCGTACCTGTCCCTGCTGTAAACTTTTGAGGATTTGTCTAAACTGTTGCGAGTTCTTTTGTCTATACTACAGGGCAGCTTGCTCGGGTGCTTTATGAGAGCATGCGAAGAAAGGCTGCTTGTCTCAGGATCCAAACGGACTTGCGCATGTATGTTGCAAGAAAAGCTTACAGAGAAATATGTTTTTCTGCTATTTCCATTCAAGCTGGAATTCGTGGGATGGCTGCCCGTGAAGACTTAAGATTCAGAAGGCAGACAAGAGCGGCAATCATAATTCAGGCAAGAACATTTGAGCAGTAAAACACTAAGTTCAAATAGTTCATAAAAGCAGTTTCACCAATTGTTGCAATGTAGGGCACATATAGGAATAACAGGATTTCGTAAACCTATTTTTATTATTTATTTGCTCATGTCCATCATATATTTTCTGTGTGTAGAAGTTGACCTTTGTCTTCCTGTACTCAGAGTCATTGTCGCAGATACTTGGCCTGGTTGCAGTACACTAGATTGAAGAAAGCAGCAATTACAACACAGTGCGCATGGAGAGGAAGAATTGCTCGTAAGGAACTGAGAACACTTAAGATGGTAATATATTTCCCTCCTTGACTAATTTTGTTTGTTGCTAATGGGGTTGTTCAGTGATTTTAATTTCATGATCGATCCTTTATTATCTGTCACTGCATTGAATGAAGGGGTCACTTCATGCTGAACATGACATGCTCATTCTTTTTCTGCGCAAAGAGAGATTATACTGCTTGTTGTAACTTGGAAGCCGTTTGGTAGTCCATGCTGTTGTCTGGTTGAATTCCATTTGAGGAGCCTGAGCTACTGCATAAGTTAACATTTATGTAATTTGCAAAAGTTATTTCTATTTGGGACTGTATGTGTTATTACTTCTCCTTGTTAAGCAGTTCAAGGCATTGCTTTTCTTTGCCCCTTTACTGTGCTAAATTTGGACATCCTTTGAACTTTTGTTTCAGGCTGCTAGAGAAACTGGAGCACTTCAGGCAGCCAAGAATAAGTTGGAAAAGCAAGTTGAAGAGTTGACCTGGAGACTTCAGCTGGAGAAACGCATGAGGGTATGTACCATTACCACTTTCTCTGTAAAAGCTCTTAACTATGCCAATTCATTAAAATTCTGAAAGCTACTTTGTTAGTCATGACCTTTTTGATGTTTGGCTCACTCGATCTTGCGATCCATGGAATATGTACGATTCATGGAACATAGAAGCATGGAACGTCATAGGAACGGATATGGACATTACATAATTTAGGTGCATTTTAATTTTTTTTAAAGTGACTCATATGGTTCTTTTAAGAAAATCATTTTTATCCCTTTATCAATTAATTAACTTAAATAAACAAGTGCACTTATGGAATTTAACCTTGCCAGGTGAGAATCCTACCTTTGCCCCATGAAATTTAGATTCCATCTCCAAATGGAAAGTGGATTCAGTTTCTCCCAAATTCCTTCCCCTTAATAGACCAACCAACCAATGGATTTTGAAGTTTCCATCATTATAGAATTGACCCAATGTTTCATGACCACATTCGATCAACCTAGCGATCCAATATATGAAAATGAGCTACTCTTGGTGTGGGTTTAAATTTACCTCGAAACTTGTGTGTACCTTATCATAATATATATTTGTGCCTCTATATTCTCATTTTGATGTGTAGGCTGATCTGGAAGAAGCTAAAACACTTGAAAATACGAAGCTACAATCTGCTTTGCAAGAAATGCAACTAGAGTTCAAAGAAACCAAAGAAATGCTTGTGAAGGAGCGGGAGGCTGCTAAGAAGGTAGCAGAAATTGTCCCCGTGATACAAGAGGTCCCAGTAGTTGACAATGCAATGATGGAGAAGCTTACAGCTGAAAATGAGAAACTGAAGGTGAGGATGTTACTTTCTGCGACTTCTTGTAATGATCGACCCCTCACATGTGTCTTGTATTGTTGGAATTCTTAAGAATGTTTTAGGTGTGCATAATAACATCACTAAAGCTTTCCTAATCAAGAAACTTTGTCACGTTTCAGGCTATGGTCAATTCATTGGAACAGAAAATTGATGAAACTGAGAAGAAGTTTGAAGAGACAAGCAGAATAAGTGAACAGAGGCTGAAGCAAGCTCTAGAGGCGGAGTCAAAAATGGTTGAACTGAAGACTGCTATGCATAGGTATGGCATTGTTGGAGGGTTATCTTTTCTTGCACTCTAGTAGTTGATTCAGCAAATAGTGTGATTTTAGATGTCTTATCCTCGCTTGTGATGAACTTTCATTTTCTTGCCTATTTTACAGTCTTGAAGAAAAATTTTTGGACATGGAAACTGAGTACCATGTGCTTCGGCAGAAGGGCCTACCCCAGACTCCTGCTAAGAAGCCATCTGATAGACCGCCAGTTCCACCATCTCACGTAAGTATTTCTTCTCAATATATTAATGACCATATCTTCCCCACTTGTTCCAGTTTCTCTTTATTTAACTTTTCATTTCCATTACAGAGCTTGGAGAATGGTAACGAGGAGAGTCGCGTCAATGTAATGCACTTACCTGATAATCTGCATACAGTACAAATGGCTTATACTTTATGATTACAAAGAACTAATTTATGTATGCAGGAACCACAGAGTGCAACACCTGTAAAATCTTATGGTACAGAGTCGGACAGCAAGTTCAGGAGGTCACATATTGAACGCCAACATGTATGTTTTGTCAAGCACTTTTGCTCCATCTGGCATGGTTTTGTTTTCTCTTATATATCTTTTTCCTCATACAGGAGAGCATCGATACTCTTATCAACTGTGTTATGGGCAACATTGGGTTTAGTCAAGGAAAGCCAGTTGCGGCATTTACCATTTACAAGTGTCTCCTCCATTGGAAGTCTTTTGAAGCAGAAAGGACTAGTGTATTTGATCGTCTCATTCAAATGATTGGTTCTGCTATTGAGGTAACTGATTAGCATTGTGCTCCAATCAGAAATTTTACTCGGAACTTAGATTCTGAAGAAGGTAAATATTCAACTCTGATTTTGGGCGCAGAATGAAGATAACAATGACCATATGGCATACTGGTTATCAAATACTTCTGCTTTATTGTTTTTACTGCAAAAAAGTCTGAAAGCAGCTGGTGCAAGTGGCACAACTCCAAATCGTAAACCCTCTTCTGCTGCATCCTTGTTTGGCAGAATGGCAATGGTACAACAATTTGTTGTTTCCTGTTATTTTCTCTTGAGCTACATTGTTGTTCTACTGCAAGAACAGTTAGTTGATATGGGTTGATTTCCTTGAATCACAGGGTTTTCGATCATCCCCTTCTTCCAATAGCCTTGCTATTGCTTTAACAGTAGTACGCCAAGTGGAAGCAAAATACCCAGCTTTGCTTTTCAAGCAACAACTTGCGGCATATGTGGAGAAAATTTATGGGATTATTCGAGACAACTTGAAGAAGGAATTGACGTCTTTGCTTTCCTTGTGCATCCAAGTATGTTTCACTTGACTGTGCTAGTCGATTCTGTCTCTGCCTGAAGTCTTGTAACAGTGGGTAGTGAGTTTTCCGAATTTGACTTGGAAATTTGTTTCTTATGATGATCAAACCTTCTTTATAGGCACCTAGAACATCGAAGGGGAGTGCACTAAGATCTGGGAGGTCATTTGGCAAGGATTCCGCACCAAGTCATTGGCAGGGCATTATTGATAGTCTCAATAATCTTCTCAGCACATTGAAACAAAATTTTGTATGATCTCCCCTTGTTTTTTCTTTTACGGTCTCTGAAGATATATATTGCTTGCTTTCGCAGGTGTACTCATTTACTGTATGTGATTTCAGGTGCCCCCAGTCCTTACGCAGAAAATCTTTACACAAACCTTCTCTTACATCAATGTACAACTGTTCAATAGGTGAGTTGTGGATTTTATTATTTCAGGGTGGAATTGTTTTCTAGGACATGAACTTTGTATAATGCTCATGGTATGTGTCCAGCCTCCTCCTGCGTCGTGAGTGTTGTACATTTAGCAACGGTGAATATGTCAAATCTGGATTAGCTGAACTGGAGCAGTGGTGCTGTCAAGCTAAGGACGAGGTATTCACTGTTATTTATAGTTCATTTTCATCAGATATAGGGTTAGTGTGCAACTCAATACATTAATATATATACAGTTCTCAAACTCTTAGGGGCCTCATATTTCTGCAATCTTGCGGGCATGCTCCTCCCATTAGCTTTGCTCCCACCTCCAAAACTGATGAAATGCATGCATATAAGGCAGGCTCATCATGGAACGTTTCATATTTCTTGGTTTCATATTTTGTTCATGCTGTTATATATCATGATTGCAGTATGCAGGCTCATCATGGGATGAACTTAAGCATATAAGGCAGGCTGTTGGATTCTTGGTATGTCATTAGTGGTGGCTGGTCATCTTTCTCCTCTACATCGGAGTACCAACTTTTTTATTTATTAATTTTCCCCCACCTGTTTTCACTTTGGTTTTCTCATCTGTCTTCACAGGTTATACATCAGAAGTATAGGATATCTTATGATGAAATAACCAACGATTTATGCCCTGTAAGTTCCTCTTCCCGACTGTTTGCTATCTGTGGCTAGTTAGCATGTATGTGTATGCACTCTATCAGCCATCTGTCTTTGTTTTATATGCTCCTACTGTGAGAATGATGTTAGTGTAGCCCATATGATTTCATTGAGCGGTTCTCCTTACTTTAACTTCTTGTGCAATCCTTCTCTTTCTTTTGCCTTGCAATTGCTAACATGAACTCCAAACTTCCCCGATAATAACTTAATATGTTAGAAACACATTAATTGCAGTTTTTGGTTATTCAGTATTATTCGTCGGTTTTTGATGATTGGGGGATTATTTGGGGAATTCGGGAAATAAACAGGGATTCGATTGTTATGTTTATTTAGTTGGGTAGGAGATAGAAACTATGCGGACTATATAATCTGTAATTAGTGGGATTATTCTCATTAAGCAATTACAGAACCAATTATTCAACCCTAATCCTACTCTCTCTCTTCTTCTCCCTTCCCCAAGGTTGCCGCGGCAACCACTTCTCCCCAAACCCCTCGATCTCTCAACTTCCTTCCTCTCAAACCCCTAGCTTGGTCATTTTCTCATTGACCTAGCTAATTCCCCAATTCCGTGATCTGTTAGAAACTTGGTTTCTAACATAATAAGTTACTTGTCCTAAGTTTTTAACTGGCTGAATTTGGAGATTTATGCTAGTAAGTGTCTCAAATTTTGTTTTAAACTTTATCAAGCCTACCTGCAGGATTCTCATTTTGTGTCTAACTGACTTTGTTTCCCAACTTCTTTCTCAGATTCTGAGCGTCCAACAGCTGTACAGAATATGTACTCTGTATTGGGATGACAACTACAACACTAGAAGTGTGTCCCCTGATGTAAGTTCTGACTACTCAAATGCTTCATCAGATCATTTCCAGAGATCTGTCTCAACGGTTACATTCCTCAGTTTGTTTGCTGACTTGCTTGCCTATAACTATCTCTTCAGGTCATTTCCAGCATGAGGGTACTTATGACAGAGGACTCCAATAGTGCAGTCAGCAGTTCATTCTTGTTGGATGACAATTCTGGGTGAGACTTCCTATACATATCTGACCTATTTGGTACCATTGGCTTATTGTATTGTTATTATACACATATTATTGCTGAAGCATGGCTGGTTGAACTATGGGATGTTCGTCCTTATGATACTACAGAATCCCATTCTCGGTGGATGACCTGTCGAATTCGATGGAAGAAAAGGATTTTGCGGACGTGGAGCCAGCAGAGGAACTGCTTGAGAACCCAGCCTTCGAATTTTTACACGAGTAAGGCTTTTAAGTACTCAAGTTTGAAGCCTATGCAGGCTGTCACGCAGTTTTGAATTGTGTCGTTGTAAAGTTATTTCATGTCATTCTACTTTTCTTTCTTTTGTGATGCAAATGTGTAAAATCCTTCATATCGTTGAAAAGGGGGGCAGGACTAGGGTATATCCAATTTGTGTAGTTTGAGAGTGCATCATTCAATACTTCAACATTTCTTTGATTGGGTTCCAATTTATTTATTTATTTTTTCGTTTTCATTTTGGCATTTCTGCCGGGAAAGCATGGGGTAGACATTTGTGTAGAAATTTCAGATGATGATTCATTCATGTGTCCAATTTTTATTGTACAACGGAGCGCTGTTGTATGAGCAGTTTGCATGAAATATATACAAATGGGATTGGTTTAGGGCTCTTTGTCCTGGATTATGTATTGCATATTTCCTCTTGGGTAATTAGGTATCTAATAAGCTCTATTGACCAACAAGCCAAAGGTGGTCCAAAAAATCAAGGACACAGTTCATAGTGCTGCAGCTGCAGACTAGCACGCAACTCTTACAGTATTATCCCCCAATGAAGAGTACAAATCAATTCTTGCCTAAATATCAGATTACCCAATGAATCAAGCAACAAATAATATTGAATCTGTCTAAAAAATGCCTGCCTAGTTTTGCTATGCCCTCCAAAAACTCTACAGCAGCAACGCTCTTTCCACACACGACAGATATACCAGGCTTATATCAAAGCAAAGGTATGACCTCTTGCACCTTTGCTCTTGGCTATTTTTCAAGCTTTCTGCAGGAAATCGCCACAGTTTGACAGACAAACTCCAAAAATCCCTCTTCAAGAACAAATCTCTACTATATGCACACTCACAGGAAATATGACTTCTACTCTAAGCTGCAGCTTTGCATAGCACACATGCATCATCAACTATCCGACCCCACTCTTTTAGCTTATCACGAGTGGTGACTTCGTTTAGAATTACCAGCCAAGCAATATTTTTGATTCTCGGTATCACAAATTTACTCCAAAGCAGCAACGACCATTCCACAACAGAACTTTTCACCCTTATCGAGTTCCATACCTGCTGAACATTGAATCTAGCTATATTCTTTCCTTCCTAGGTCTTTTCACCACTATTATTAACAGTCATTCTATATTGAAACCTACTCCGAGATTGCAAGAATTTCCTCTAAAAGGTCCCAAAAGGAGCGACCTTTAAGCATATATCTTCTTATCCATGCTACATAGAAGCTTCCCCCTTGAAGCATCTGGAGCCAAATTAATCTAGCAAGACACGCAATATTACAGCTATGCAATTCCTTTAAACCCACTCCACCCTCCTCTCTTGGTACAACAAGATTTTACCAAGCAATTTTAGTTCTACCAGTCCCATCTCCATACCATAAAAAGTCAGAACATATTTTGTGAATTTGAGCTATGACATTTTTGGGCAGGCCAAAAATATTCATCCCATACCGAATTAGAGAATAGGGAAATGAAGAAATCAATTGGATTCTACCAGCATAAGATAGTGTATTTTTCCTACAGGATCTAATCCTACTAGTCAGCTTATCAGCTAATACTTTGCATTTACGACTAGTTAATCTACCAGAAATCAAAAGTAGACCCAAATACCTGTTTGGTAGCCTTCCTTCCTTGAACCCTGTAACCTTAATTGTCCTTGTACATATTGGCCTATCCCCCAACGAAAACCTAATATTTTTTAAATTGCATCCCAATCCAGAGAACTCATTGAATCGCTCCTGTAGCTTCTTAACCTCACCGAGTGATCTTTCAGTGAAGATCAGAAGTTCATCTGCGAACCAGAGATGCGTTAGACCAAATGATCTACACTGAGGATGGTATGGTATCTGCTTCTCTAATGCTGCTGAGTCAAACATACTTGAGAGTGGCTCTAGAACCAATTGTGAACAAATAAGGAGACAAGGGATCCGCTGTCTAACCCCGTTCTTAGTCGAGAAGAAACCTAACAAGGAACCATATAGAGAGACGCTAAAGAATGTATATTCTTAACATGTTTTTAACCAGTATATAAACTCAGTAGGAAATTCCATTAGCTTCAGAACACTGGATGTATAGAACCAGCTTACTGAATCAGACGCTTTTTGTAGATCAATCTTAATTGCACACATCAAAGCCACATTTTCTTGTTATAATTTTGTACCATTTCTTGAGCCATTCGAATGTTGTCGAGGATACTCCTCCCCTTAACAAATGTCGTTTCATTTCTACTTATAATTCTAGGCAGTACAAGCTGAATCCTATTTGCCAACACCTTAGCAATTATTTTGTAAATAACATTTATGCAAGCAATAGGACAAAATGTAGTCAGTTTCAGCCGTAGCGCTTTTGGGAGAAGTGTGAGAGAAACTATGTTCATACCTTTAGAGATTCTTTTGGTCCGAAAAAATTCTTTCACCCCCTCGAAACATCATCTCCAGCAATATGCCAGTTCTTTTGGAAGAAGCTAGCAGACCATCCATCTGACCCTGGTGCCTTGGATGGAGCCATTGAAAATAAAGTTGCCTGTATCTCCTGGTTTGTTATTCCAACACATAATTATCTTTTCTCAACTGCTCCAACTTTTCTAGTGACAAACTTCCTCAATGTTGTTTTAACGATGATTTAAACTCGCATTCTAACCTTTTTTTTGCTTCCTAGCATCCATATTATTAGGTGAACGTGTGTGTGTTTAAGCCATATGTAGAAGATTATGGTATCAAGTATAGGGAAATGGGTCAAGGGAAGTTCTCGTGCAAAAGGCTGAGGTTCACGACCATGAACATTTTGGCGTGATCTGGAGTTCACGGGACATGGAAGAGTTCACAATCGAAATCTTTAGTCCCAAGTCCGTGAACCTCGGGAAACCATCAACGAGAAGAGCATAAGGTTTTTTGGTTTGACTCGCGTGCCTTTAGCGTGAGACCACTATAAATGTTCACGACTAGGATCTTTAGCCTGTGATTTGCGAGCAAGAACAGGACAAAAAGAAGATGCATGAAGATCACATTACATTTGACGTGTTCACGACCGTGAGCTTTTCCGAACTTGTGCCTATATAAATATATGAAGATACCCAAGGGTTGAAAAGAGGGCGGGAGAGAGATTTTTACACAAGTGTTAGAGAGAAGTGTTCTTGTTGGTTTGACTTTGAGTGAAAAGATCTTACGGACCAACATCTCGCACCATGCTTGGAATTGAAGTTTGTTTAGGTTTATTAGTGTTGTCATCCGTCTGGGACTCATAGTTTGATCCAGTGATTGTGAACCGAGGCTCTTGAGGGATATATTCTTACCCTCAAAAGTTGCTTATGCTTTTTACTTAATTTATACCCTGTAGAATGCTCACAAATTATGATAGAAAGCATATTCCTTAGATAGGAATATCAAAATCAATATCATTCTGTCCTACAACTAGGTCAAATGTGAGGGGGGGAAATTTCAATGGATGGCTCTCTCCTTCCATGCATGGAAAAGGCTTATGTTTATTATTTTTGAAGAGTAACAATAAATAGTGAGAGGATGGAAATCTATTTTATCTCAAAGGTGGAAAGAATGGATTACTTGGCTTTCAATTGTCCGAAGAAACAATGTATGGTATGAAAAGCTAACGTTGCCCGTTAAACTAATAAAATCTACCAATTGCTAGGTTAACTCTCCAACCAAAGGTACCACAAACTATCCTTGCATTTGGATCAATGGGAGAGAGAAAACAAATCAAGGTTTTGTTCTTATCTTTCTAACTTGGTGTCCAAATAAAGACAAATTTGGAGGGGTAGGCTACCTCCAACATTTTATAAACATTCTTCATTCCACACAACACCTGAAGTTTCATAAAAACTTTTGAAACTCCCTTCTAAAGTTGGAACTCTTGGGAGGCGCAAAAATCCTTTAAAGGTAGTAGGGTGAACCCTATAGGCACACACCAAAACCTACAACCATTGGTCGAGGTTTGTCTCATCATACCCATCATTAAGCATAGAGAAGATAAGCAAAGGCCCTCCTTAATTTTTTTATACTAGTATCTAACTTGAAAAACAGAGGGTCCCTTATCATTCACAACTAAGGAGTTGTTTTCTAGGGTGCAGAGAGCAAGGATAAAGCTCGTGGCACCAAATTTGGAGATGGACGTTTATGATATACACCGGGGTTCGTAGCGACAAAGAGAGTTACCCCAACAATCAAATAAAATTAGTGTTGTTGACAAACAACTGAATTTTAGTTTGGCACCAACAGTTATGAAATGAATCACACGACAATTTTAGTGATAAAAACATTCATGAACAAGGTTATAACCGATTTGAACCATTGGATTGACCACACTCAATTGACTTGAGTTTGTACTGAAAAGCAAAGAGATGAGGTGTTTGTGGTGAAAAGCCAAGACATGAGGGGTTTTGCTAACTTAGTTGCTCAATCAAACCATTAGTACAAGTTGGTCTTGATCAGTTTTAACTGGAACTTGATGCACTTAACCAATTTACATCTTAAAATATATTAAAAGGGTTCGAAAAAGACTCCTTCCACATCGTTTTTGGAGCTTTGTTTGTGAATTTCAATTTTTCTCTATTTAATCTTTTTTTTTAATTTATGGACTGCAGCCTGTGTGAGGGGTGGTTACAATGAAATTATTTTGTTGTATTTTTATTTTGCAAGAAAGTTAGTGTATTTTTTAGAGGTTACATAATTCATTCTGTTTGTTATATTTTTTTTACCTTCTCCCAATCTTCTGTTGTAGTTGGAGTTGAACTAGGAGTTTTCAATTATATTAAAAATAATAAGAAAATTCTTTTATCATTTTACTATAAAAAAAAATCTACACGAAAAGAGTAAAATATAAATGTGCAATAGGATTGAAAATTAAAAATTACATTGTTTTTATGTCCACTTATAAAAAGAATAATTTATAATTACAATTTACATAACAATTCATGGGTACGTTAGAAAATGCTAATATCTTTTCAAAAATTGAATAACGACATTATAACAGTTGTAAAATGATGACACTAAGATATGAATTGGATTTGTGGGGTATGCCTTCATACTCATGCCTTTCGTTCTAAATGCCAGCATGATGAGAATATTTTTGTAGAGCCTCCTGATTGTGGTGACGACCTTGTTCGTTTTATTATTTTTGATATTCCCGGACCTTCATCTCCGTCTTTGTCGGTTCTCTCATCTGATTCTAGAGTTGAGCTTGTGGGTTGGTCTATCTCTTTGCGTTTGTTCTCTATGGGTCTTCGCACCGTGAAATCTATCAATCAGAAGTGTCATATTGGGTTTGCGCAGGCTCTGAAAGGGGCATAGGATGATGTGAGTGTTTCTCCTAGTGACATCTCATGCTGGATTCACTTACTTGTGGTGCCTCTTTGCATGCTTAAGACCTTTTCTCCACGAGTAATCTTGAGTGTC